TATGAGTATAAAGTGAGGTGTTTAAGTACTGCTAATGTCTTAATGAATTCACAGTTGCCTCTGGTGAATGCAGTGTTGACATTAAATGCAATGAGTAGCCTGTTGTAGAAAAGAGAGCTGGGTTGGAGGATTAAGGTGATCAAAATAACATGAAATTTGTTATAATGATGACAAGGAGATCTGTTATCATTTAAATGATTTAAGTGCTGAAAACTATATATGCCTAGGATTTCAAAGGAGCCAAAGAATTAGAGAGGATCACCCTGAGGCAAGTAACAGAAAGTACAAATTCCATTAAAAAATTGATGATTTCCTATTTTCTACATGAGACCTGTAAATAAAGAATGGAAAAGAGAAAATCTGGGTAAGGTGAAGGAAAGGAATTTAAACATTTATCTAAGTTAGTGTTTCTTAACCTTTTCAAACACTTGGCACTTTAAGACCTCGTTTTCTTCTTGTGGCCTTCCTGTTTTTCCAGCTTGTCCCTAGCTTTGTGGTCACTCCCCATTTATATATTTTTCACCTCAGATCCTGTGGAGTATCCTGGGGACCCACAAAGGGTTGAGAAATGTGGATCAGGTTATGATAGAGCTAGCAAATGAGAATATTAAATCAGGAGACCTCAAAACTAGCTATTTTTAATGCCACCCTTTAATGCCACACCGTTATGTATTCTGACATTTCTTTGTGGAGAAAGAAAGGACGATACGGATGATGATAAAGATGCATAAGATCCCACTAACCCTAAATATTTGCAAGTAGATTCAACCCTTCCTAGTTTGTTGCACTATATAACACTTTTTCAGATGAATGAATAAAGAAGTTATGGTATATATACACAGTAGAATATATCTCAGGTATAAGAAAAGATGAAATTATGCAGTATGCCACTACATGAATGGAACTAGCGGGTATCATATTGAGTCACCCAGGAGAGGGACAAATACCAAATGATTTCTCTCATTTGTGGGATATAAAGACACATAATAAGGAAACATCAAAAACTGTAATAAGCAGAACCTGAGAGTTGGGCTACAGAACTGAGTTTACCTGGGGGGTGGTGGGAATGGCGGGGAACTTGGACACTTGCAGGGGGCTGCTGACACTGGTGGTGGGTCTGGTGCTACAACATTAGAAGAAACAAAACTCTCATGAACAGCATTGTAAATCACAGTGCCTTCATCAAAACTAAAGGGAAAAGAGAAGAATTTCAAGGGGGGCACCAAATGACTGTAAAATGACACAGTTAAGAGGGAAAACTGGGTCTTTGGATTCCTTATATAGTGTTCTTTGCTGCCCCACTACTCTGCATGTCTTTATTCAGACGTATTTTTAAATGCTAAAAACTCAGCAATTGTTCTTCCTTTGTGAATCATTAATCTATGCAGCTGCCATACCACATTGTAAGGTTCAGCCCGGCCTGGTTAGAATAGAGTGCTAAAGTGGGAGTTAGTCATAGTTTGGCTTCATAGCTAACCTATTGTTGAATATTGAAATTGTGACATTTTTTAATCTTTCTGCATCTCATAATTTGCTCTTTGCCTTGGTGTGTGCTATGTGGTGAAGCTCAGTTTGAATGGAGTCATCTAGCCCCCTTGTTCTTACTGCTTGAGTAGACTTGATGCTAGCCTGCCACTTGGTTTGTCCCCAGATGTGTGTGTGTGTGTGTGTGTGTGTGTGTGTGTGTGTTTAGTTTGTGTGTCTCAGAAATGATGTAGAGGTCATTATCTGTGGAAATGTATGTTCAGCTTCACATAGGAACTTAAGAGCTCTGAAAGAATCCCTTGGTAGATTGCAGAAATGTTAACTGGAGGTTGTGTAAATGATACTTAGTGACATGTACTGAAAACTTGCCCTGTGCTAGACCCTTGTATTTCATCCTTGCATTTCATAATCACGCCATGAAGTATAAGGTGGAGGGGGGTAGTTCAGGCATTTAGAACTGTGCACAGCTAATGTGGAGAAGCAGGCTTCAGCCCTCACTCTTACCCTCTACAATATGTAGTTTATATGTTAATAGCTTATAGGAAGTGTCTCTTGGTAGGGCCCATCTAATTCTGTCTGTTGAAATTCCTGATTCCCTCCTACAAGAAGTTGGAAGCTCATAATAAAATCTGAGTGACTGCTCTCACACAGGATGTAGATCTTGCTAAAACAATGCAAACAAAGCAAAAACTCCTTGCAGAAAATGTTCTGCAGAGGCCTACATATTGTTCACTTTGTTCACAGGCAAGCTTGGAATTCTTTGTGACCTGCCTTATTTGAGTTACATTAAATGTAAGGAGACCTGACAACTGTAGAAGTTTGAATATTCATCATTAATTTTAACTCTTTAATTAAGCTTTTGTGACACATATGAATGTTCTTTGAAATTTGGAAAGGAAATACATCATTAAAAATGAAGTAGAAGTGAAGTTTTATTTTTATAGCTATAAATTTTCTTATACAGTAAAATCCAGAAGCTTAAAATGTCTTATTAAAAGTAGAATGTCCAATCACTTTATAACATTTAACACCACTTTTTACTTAATATAAGTGCTAATTTTGACAGTTCATCCCTGATTTTTCCTTCCCAACCATTAACAAAAAGTAATACTTTTTGTGTCATGTTTAGGGTTAAGTACACTAAAGTCTTTTAAGTACCAATGTGCAATTGAGTTAAGGAGGAGTAAAATTTTAATATTAATTTGAAATGCTTTGTATTTGACTTTATACTTGCTCAGTTAGCAGCTTTGAGAGCGATCTAAACTAGGTGGAATTATATCATTTCTACCCAGGTTTGATTCCTCCACCCCTTGCAGAGCCTGGCAAGCTACCCAGAGTATCTGACCCGCATGGAAAAGCCTGGCAAGCTACCCATGACATATTCGATATGCCAAACACAGTAACAAGTCTCACAATAGAGATGTTACTGGGCCCACTCAAGAAAAATTGCTCATCGAATTTTGCTCGAGCGGGCCCAGTAATGTCTCCATTGTGAGACATGTTACTGTGTTTGGCATATCAAATACCTGGGGAACTGCCAGGCTTTGCCATTCGGGCAAGATACTCTCGGTAGCTTGCCGAGCTCTTCAAGAGGGGCTGAGGAATAGAACCCGAGTTACCTGGGTTGACCGTGTGCAAGGCAAACACCCTATCCGCTGTGCTATCACTCCAGCTGACAGTGCAGTGCAATGCAATAGGTAAATCATTTGAGTTGACCACATATTATGTCTTATGGGGTTTAGATCCATACAGAAGCATCTTTGGCAACTTTAACAGGTCTACAATGTGATGTGTAGCTTTTCTCTTCAAGAGAAGTATTAATTTAAACTCCAGGTGCTTGATACATAGAAAGGAATTTAATCATTATTGGGGAAAAAAGAGATTTGAAAGTCAGATTGTAAAAGCCAATGTTTCAACTTTATCGTAAAGTTGCTCTCCTCGATTTGGCTTGACAAAGGAAAGGATAAAATCTTGAGTGAAAATCTTGTTTTCTTTCCCTTCTTTGTATTTCAAGTTTCTCTATTGTATTTAAAGTGCTGTGGCTAAAAAGAAACTTTGAGGGGGAAAGTGGATTTTATAACCAAACTGAATGTCAGACAAATTCCATAAAAATATCAGATAATTGTATAAGAGAGTAAATACTATTGTGGTATTCATTTCTAGTCTATTGTGTACTAACTAACTAACCCAGCAATGAATACTTATACATTGTCATTCTCAGTAGGATTTAAGTTCGGATTATTGAATTAATTGCATACTAAAATAGTTATACTGGAGGTTTGAAGATGATTGGAGGGGGATGGGGTTTTGTAAGAGAATTACATCTTCTTATGCCACAGAACTTCAATGTGAATGTCTAAAATTAATCAAGAAACAAATATTATTATAACTATAATACTTTAAAATGAAGAGATACAGACCCAAGGATGTGGTTCAGGGGTAGGGTACGCTGAGACCATGAGTTTAGTTCCAAGCACTGAACAACATTGAGAGTCATAACTGGATTCACAGGGCGCTCTGGGACCAGAGAGCCAGACCCATGACCACAGCCACCAAGTGTGTGCTGCCCCTGTGCATTGTAGCATCACCAAAACAGTAAGGAGAAAGGGGAAAATAGCAAAAACGAAGAGACAAAGAGCCAAGAAGATAATACAGTGGGTAGGACATGCCTTGCACATGGACAGATGACCCAGGTTCAATCCACGGCACCCCATTTGGTCCTCCTACAATTGCTAGGAGTGATCCCTGAGCACCACAGGTTATGAAAAAAAAAAGAGGTAAGAAGAAAACACAAAGACATATAAAAGAAAAAGTCAAAAACCATTTAAAGAAATTGACTCTTGTAGAGAGCAGGAGAGAGATAAGAAACTGCCATTGCCTATGCATTTATTCTCTTCCTCACTGGTTTATTTACTTATTCATATTGTACTTTAGATAGTATGTTTAAAATAATGTTACCATTCATAGTCTTCTGTACCCTCTCCCAGCCCCCACTGCCCACTGTGTGGCGAAGCTGATTTTTATAATACAAGGCCATAGTTTTATCATTGTTTTGATACTCCTTTTTTAACAAAGCTGATAACTTTTAAGAAAAAAAAAGGTATTGTGTGTTTATGTCCAATCTGCTTCCTTGTGCTTGGCAAATTGTAGCTCATGAAGATCATTCCCTGGAAGCCAAGAACAAGCAGGATGCTAGCAATAAAATTTCTCATTACATGATAAGAGGAACTGAGGCTTGAGAGGTCAAATTTGTGGAAGGCCATTTCCCAGCTAAATCACTTTTGCCTTTGGCTATTCATTTGGCATTTTCCCTAAATTATTTTAGGAATAGAAGGTTCTTGTAGGAAGAAAGTTCAAAGAAGGAAAAAAAAACCCAAACTGTGTCTGAACAGTTGTACTTGAAACAGTTTGTACTTGGGAGACATTTTCTCTGATCTTGTTTATCTGCATTTATATCAGTTCAAAATACAAATTGGTTCCTAACTACTCTTTTTGATGTTTCCTCTTTAAAATAGGGAAATAAACATAAAATCATGGAGAAATGTACATTACCACTGACGGGAAAGCATTGTGTCAACCGCATCATTACAGAAAAGGTAAAGTGCCTTGCTCTCTTTATTTTTACTAATGTCTGCCATCACAATTTTTTTTCTCCCTCCCCATAGGTAATTGTTTGTTTATTTATTTATTTATTTTATTTTTTAAAAATTTTTGCTAGTGAAACACCATGAGGTACAGTTGCAGACTTACACATTTTTGTGCTTGAGTTTCAATTATACAAAGATCAAATACCCATCCCTCCACCAGTGCCCATTTCCCACCACCAAGGATCCCAGTATCCCTCCCACCCCCCATCCCCCCACCCCACCCTGCCTCTGTGGCAGGGCATTCCCTTTTGTTCTCTCTCTCTCTTTTTGGTTGTTGTGGTTTGCAAAAGAGGCAATGGGTGACAATCATGTTTGGTCTATAGTCTACTATCAGCATGCTTCTCCAATCCTGGGAGGATCCACCCAACACCTTTATTTGGTGTTCCCTTCTCTATCTGAACTGCCTTTTCCTGTAGCATGTGTGGTTGGCCTCCAAGCCATGGAGTAAAATTCCTGGTACTAATCTTGGCCATTCTTGCCATCACAATTTTTAATAAACATTTTTAGTATTTTTGTTACCTTCTGAAAATATAGGCAATCATAGGATTAATTTAATCCATGATTGAAACTAAATAGGTTAATTTGTCAGTTCACTGTTTTCTGAATGTCAAATTCTTACAGTGCAATTCTCCGGGGATGCATATAAACACACAGACTTGAACTAGAATCCTAACTTTGAAAGTTTGATGCTGTCAATTTTATTGTTCCTTCTGCTTGATTTTTGACATGTCTAAATTTGGATATAAATATAGTTAATAGTTTATTTATTGTCCTTACCTTTATTCTTTGCTTTCTCCAACTATAAATTATTTGATTCCATTTCAGCAAAAATTGAATTTTAGTCACTTAGGTGCAGACTGCTGCACAGGGGGTGGTAGTCAGTCAAGAAATCAATGGTTCCTGCGTGATCTTTCATAAAGTGGATTTTTGCAGAGCCCTCTAGATCAGCATTCTGTAGCCAAGGGTATAGAAGATGTCACCGGTATAGGAAGGTTGAAATCTGTTATTCAGCCACCTTGGTCATAAGTATGGTGGACTTGCTTATAAATCTGTGGACCAGTATACAAGACAGGTGTAAAAAGGTTGAACACCAGTGCTCTAGATTGTTTTTATCTTAGATGGAAATAGCTGTGCTTTCCTGGACCCAGGCAAGCAAGAAGACTACTGGCTGGTATCAAAATCAGTGGTTTGTTAAGTATTTTGCAATCTGTGCCATTTATCCTTCAAGCTCAGTTTCTCTCTTTCTATGTTAATGAGACTGCTCATCTACCCTCTCTTTCTATAATGCCCTTCCTAGCCCATTCATCTGGCTAATTCCTGCTCATTGTCTGGTCACAATTGTGTTTCCTTCTGTGACATATCTTTCTTCTTCTTCCCAAGTCTTCTGGATACTTCCTTGAGTGCTAATAGTTTTGCAACTTGGCACTGACCACTGAACTCACGTCTAGGGTCTGCATATCTAATTTATCACTGTTTAGCCAATACTTAGCATGAGTAAGTATCCAATACTTAGACATACAGTGAATGGCTTGTTGTGTCAATGTACTGTACTTTTCTTGACAAGGAAATTGATAGATTGAATGATTCTTGAAAAATAAGTGGGAGCTTTATAAGTGAAAGTAAGACCAGAGAGGCTCTTCTAGACAAAAGGAAGAAAATAACCAGAATTACAGAGGCTAAGAAGGGACAACTTCTTGAGGATATTTTGGTGAAGCAAACTGTGCAGTGACAGCTGGTCTAGATTCTAATAGTTATTGTGGATGGAAAGACATTGAAGAAATTATGAAGGGGGGCAGTAGTGAATGACACTTTAAAATATTCAAGTTTTTATCTGTAAGACAATGGAAAGTCTTACAGTCTTTCTGTAGTAACATAATGAGTTGATTTGCATCTCAGAAAGAACACTAGCTGTTGGGGGAGGAGGCGGTGGGGAAGTGATGAGACAGTCCAGTTAGATAGTCTTTAGTGATCTGGTCAAGGAATACCAGGCTCCTAACCCATGGGGCAGAAAGATTGGAAAGAGATTTAGGAAATAGACTCAACCTAGTTGAGGATGCATGGCCAAGGCAAAGGTGAATAGGTCACCTCTTTTGCAACCAGAGGGCTGGTTAATCTATTGTATCCTGCAGTAAGCTTGAAGCTGTAGGAAGAGAACTGAAAAGAATAGATTCTGTTTGGATATGCTCCACTTGAGATTCCTGAATAATTGAACATCCCAAACAACCCATTTGAGTTTTATTTCACAAAAACAATTGGAGATGCAAGTCTGGTGGTAGGAAGGGAAGCCAGTATTGGAACAAACAAACCTGTGGAAGTCAATGGCATATGGGGATAACCGGAGCCTGTGCTATAGATGGAGACACATTAAAGTGAAACGGAGCAAAGTAAAAGGCAGCTCAATGTGGAAATCTAGGTACCTCAAGGCAAGGAGTGTTGTCTGTTCATCACTGTGCTACTGCATGTCAGGTACTCAAGAAATACCTGTGGCATGCAGGAATAAGAATTTGGTACTGTAAATGCCAGTGAATATGTACACCCTGCCATCAGAATTTTTAGAATTCTATTCTAAAATTGAAAATTCCACCAGTTTTTCACTGGAAAAAGGCTTTGGGGGCATTAAGACCTCAATTTTCTAGTTCAGTGATGATAGAGTAAGTTGACAGAGAGTGGCTTCTTGGTAGCGACTGGGCTACAGTGAACTACTTTCTCCATAAAACAACCTTTTGTGGTGATAAGCTAATCTCTTCTGTGTAAAAAAGTACCTGAAATATTTTTGTTAGTTGAACAATTTATTTTAATGGTTACGTCTTGGTTACCAGTTTTACAAATTTTTGTTTATACTTTATACCACCAACTAGAAGTCTTCCTAAATATATCAAAAGTAAATTTTCTTCCTTTTAATAATAAATGCTTTGCTCTCTAGCATATGACCTTAAGAGCTTAATAGTATTGGATAAAAGTGTTGTTAAAAGTTTTAGAAAAGCAGTAGTCACTTTGCCATAGGTTTTAACTCCCTGAGGATTTATAGTCTTGATGCTGCAGTTAACTTCCCACCAAATCCCTTCTCTGCTTGTTTTTAATAACATAGTCAAGAAACTTTTTTCTTACTTGTTCCATTTTTATAAATTGTTCATAATGGGGGGGGGGGAGGCAAATCACTTATATTTTTTTTTAAGTTGAAATTTTGGAAACAAAACAACATACACTTTTACTAAATGACCATTTCCTCTCTTTGAATGCATATTTCTGTTGATGAAGTCATTTGGAACAGAATGCGCAAATAAAATGAGGCAACTGAAGTATTTTCCCATAAATTTAAATCCTTTCCAATAAAACCAACCAGGTTATCTGTGATTTCATCAGATGATGCAAATATCACTTATCATTGATATTTTGCTGCCCAGGGAAAATAGCAATCAACTGGAGATAATAACCATTTCCAGGCTTTGATTTGTTTTACGTACAAGTGACAGTACACTAAGGTAATACGGGGAGCGGGACCCAGGGCATAGATCTCCAGTCCTGCTCGGATTGGGACTGGGGCCTCCTCCACCCAGATCCCCCATCTTCCAGTATGTAGGCGTTACACTCACCAACTGCCCCTGGCACTGTGTAATCCCATCAATGGCCAAGACCCAGAGACTATAAATCAGCTCTCGGAAATGGTCGTGCGACATCTTATTATCTAGTTCTTACTCTGTAGAACCTGGCAGGCCACCAAAAGTCTCCTGCCCACAGGCAGAGTCTGGCAAACTCCCCGTGGCATATTCAATATGCCAAAAACCAGTAACAATGATGGGTCTCATTCTCCTGACCCTGAGAGAGCCTCGAAAGTGGCACTTTTTAAAATCTCAGGGCTAGGACGAAGGAGACGTTACTGGGGCCTGCTCGAAGAAATTGATGAACAACAGGATGACAGTGATACAGTGAATACAGGGAAAAAGCACACACCATTTGGTGCCCCTGCTATGTTCCAGGCTTAATGCCGAGTGCTTTGAGTGTGTGTGTTAGACACCTCTCATAAAGACACACCAGATTGCATAGCCAATGTGTGGCAGAGCTAGAATTCTATTTCTGCCTGAAAGCCAACTTTTTTTTCTCTCTCTCTTTCTACATGTTGCCAAGTTTTCATATTAGGCTATTAACCAAAACTCTATTTAAAAATGACAACTTAGAGTTTGATTTCCAAGGTAACCAAAAATAGAGATTTCAAGCCACCACCACCAAAACATAATTGCACTGAAGATTAGTTCAAAGGAGAGGAGAGAGTGAGGGAACAAAAACTAATAATCATCCCCAAGAAAGAAGAAACCAACTCTGAAAGTCCCAAAGAGGGGCCATTGCTTGTTTCAATGGTATCCAACTTTTACAAGTGACAGTTTCTAGTCCTTGGGAAATACTGTTTCCTGCCTCTGCAGTTTCTAAGTAGTGCTCCAATGACTATCTGGATCAGAGGTTATATTAAATGATTTCTTCTACAACTTCTACTCAAAGTTGTCTTTCATTTTTTTCTTTGTGTATGCGTGTGGGGCTTGAAGGGGTGGGGAGAGGAACACCCAGCTCTGTGCCTGGGGTGTGCTCCCAGAGGTGCTCAGGGGACCCTGCATTGTTGGAGATTGAATCTGGGCATTCCTGCATGCAAGTCATCCATGCAGCCCCTTGAGCTCTTCCCTTGACACCTTAAGTTGTCCTCTTTTAGGGGCGAAACCTATGTTCTTAATCAGTAGCACAGGGTGAGCCAACTACTGAGGTCAAGCGCCAGCCCTTGGTACCCCATTACTGCCAACCAAAGTGCCATAATGACTCCTGCTTGTCCTTAACAAAGCATCTTCATTTGACTCACATCCTACAGGGAGACCCACATGCCACCCTCTCTGACCTCTGTTTCTGCAGGCTCTGCAGGGAAAGTTTTAGTGCTTACCCAGCAGTCAGTCTGGCCCAGGTCAGCTGTCTGTTTATGTCAGACCCACCCACTGCAGGTCACCTTCTGTTTCCTGTCATTCATCACTGCTTTTCCACATTGTCCCTGTGTGTTCACCTTACAAATATCTCCTTCCTCCATCTTTTCCATTTTTGCGTCAGATCATTCTGAACTAGCTCATGGGCTTTTGACCAAAAGTAGTAGTCTATGACTTAACCATTTTAAAAACCCTGTTGCTAGCGAGTGCCAGCCCCACTGGTCTGGAACTGTGCTTTCTTTACAGCTGATTACTGATTAGATAGATGGAGAGTTAATCTGTGTCTGTTCCTTTCCCAGATCTGAGGACACCGGATGTGTGTTCATTGGAGATTTTCAGAATTCCTTCTCCTCATCTTGTGTCGTTTCCTTAAGAACACAGGTGGTTTCTGTTTTTGTGCTGTGAAATAAATCGCCGTGATAGAAATTGTCTGTCGTTTTCTTGACTCCACCAGGCTGTGTTTGACGTGGACAGTAAGAAAGGGCTGACTCTGATCGAGCTCTGGGAAGGCCTGACAGTGGATGACATAAAGAAGAGCACAGGCTGTGACTTTGCAGTAAGTATCTGCGTATCTGCGTGAACAAATCCAGCCACATGTCCTGTATCAGAGATCTGATTAATGGGTGTTTACAGGACACGAACCATTAATTTGCAATCGTTTTTGGAGTTGGCCTTTGCAGAGAACAGGAGTAGAAGGAGGGTGCCCCAGAGGAGAGCAGGTGGGAGCAGAAGCCACACTCTGACTCACACACGGCCTGAGCTCGGCTCAGGAGTGAGAAACAGAGGAGGTGGGAGGAACCTCAGGAGCTGCTCCGAGCAGGAGGTCGAGCTCGAACACTGAGTGACTTTCAGTCAAGTACCTTGCAGTCCGTCCTCTTAGCTTTGGTTATGTAGCAGCAATGGCTAAACTTGATTAAACTAAAAAATGTGAGCCACACGGGGTACAATATGACTTTTTTTAAATGGGTCTGGCTTATGGACCCGCTGATTAACGTCTATGTCTTGTTATTTCACCCACTGAAAATACTAGCCTGGGCTTCTGACTCCACCAGATCTGTAGTCACAAAATAGGGGCATCCTCCGTTGGAAGGAAGATTTGAGTGCATAAAGATTTAGTCACAAAGCTAATCAGGGAAGTCTCATTTGAAAAAATCCCCAAAGCTTGAAATATTTTTTCCTTAGGTTCTGTGCTTGGCTTGTGTCTACCAGTGCATAACAAATTTCTGTAGAAACAATTTGTCTACTTAATAATTTATTATTCACATAACTTTTTTGGTACTGTATAAGAATCTTTTGTGTATTAAACTTTTTTGATTTCCCTTTGGAGAAGAAGAGTCTACTAGGAGTAATACCTTTCCCTCTGGAAAAAGGGAATCTGTTTGCACAAAAATTACATCTTTAATTAGCTTTTCAATTATCTTGGAAGAGGTAAAAAGTGGGACTTATTTATACTACAACTACTTAGAATTTCTTACTCCCATGATGAGAATAAACAATTCCTTTTACTTAATCAGTCGTTCTTTACTTATTTCCCCTTTGGGAGAATGTACTAACCTCTTCTTCATCAGGTAGCATTTTTGAGATCTGTAGAATGTTTAATTTTCTGCTTCAAGAGAGAACACTCAAAGGAAAACTCTTCTTGCTATTTATTTCTTTTTAGCTGAAAGTTTAATTTTCAAGTAACACCAGGTAACATTTGTGCTAGTACTCCAAAGGAGACTATGGAAAATTTGCCAGTGGAATTTAAATATTTGAGTCCAGAGAGATAGTAGAGAGGGTAGGGCACTTGCCTTGTACATGGCCAACCTGAATTGGATCCCAGGCATCTCATATGGTCCTGAACATCACCAGGGGTAATTCCTGAGTACAGAGCCAGGAGTTACCCCTGAGGATCTCTGGGTATGCTGCCATCCCCCCTCCCTAGCCCCACCAAAAAAGAATAAAAGATTAAGACTTTTTTTTTTTTTTGCTTTTTGGGTCACACCCGGCGATGCTCAGGGGTTACTCCTGGCTAATGCACTCAGGAATTGCTCCTGGCGGTGCTTGGGATGCTGGGAATCGAACCTGTGTCGGCCATGTTGGCTGCGTGCAAGGCAAATGCCTTACTCACTGTGCTATTGCTCCAGCCCTGAGATTAAGACAATTTTAAAATATAAGTATTTGTTATATTTCTAGAAATCTTCACCTTGTTCCCAAAATAAGATTCTGAACAGTAGTTGTTTACAGCTACCTAGAAAGCCACAGTGGACAGAGGTCATGTTCCAGATGACCAGTCCTTCAAAGCTTAGTTATTGGAGAGGGACTTGTCTCTGTTTCTTGGAAATTGAATTCTGAATCTACTGAAAGAGATAAAGGAGCTGGGTGGGTCGAGATGAAAATTCCACCATTAGAATAAAGGAGAGAGCGGCTGGGGCATTGTACAGCTGTAACAGGCTTTGCAGGAGCGAACCCTAAAAATGGAGTGCCTTCAGTGACCATTTCTGGATGGCAATGGAAAACCACAGGGTTCCAGAGCAACTGCACGTCGGGCTTTTTATTATTTATTTATTTATTTATTTATTGCTTTTTGGGTCACACCCGATGATGCTCAGGGGTTACTCCTGGCTCTGCACTCAGGAATCACTCCTGGTGTTATGGGATGCCAAGGATCAAACCCGGCTCAACCACGTGCAAGCTCTCCCCGCAGTACTATCATTCCAGCCCCAGCAGTTACACATCTTTCCAGCTAAGCTTCCTTCCAAATGGTTAAGAGCAAAAACAGTTTGGCCCCTTTCATGAGGAGGAAGAGTTGGACTGAACTTCATATGTTCTTGTTTCTTTGCACAAATCATCTTTCCTTTCGTACAGGCCCAGATATTACATAGATGGGGTGTCTTTCCACATGGAGGGAAATATGGTAATGAGGAACAAGCACCTACTTAACACTGCTTGTCAGAAGAACCCAGTGTCTGTGGTCTTCTTTGACGAATGCAATATTGTGATACTGTGTGGACACACACTGCTATCCTTTTCTGATGCCACTTGCACACAATGTTTATATGACCAAAGCTTCCTTTTGTTTATTTTTTTCCGTTGTCTTCACATTTTGAAAAGTCTTCCTCCCAAATGTTTATAAAGTTGTAATTTATTTTCGGTCAAAACAATATTGTGTATTCTCTATTATTAGAACTGTTACAAGCTAATGAATATGTCAGTTTCTTATATTTTCTTATTCTTGTTTTACTTAGTGTGATGATGTCCCATTATATGTATGATGAGCTAAAGCAGAAAGGAAAGGAAAGTGGACATCCCAACACTTAACTTTTTTTTATCCACAAATATCTTTTCTAATGAGTAGAGAATTCAGTTGGTTACTTATTCTTTTCTAATATGTATTTTTTTCATAAAATTGGTTTCTTTCCTGTATATGTCTGTGGGCTTCTTTTGAAACAGGATATTTCTAGTTTTATCTTTTAATCAAAATTTTAAAAATAAAGGCAAGATTGGGCCAGAGTGACAGTAAAGCAGGTAAGCATGCCTTGCATGCCTCCAGCCTGGGTTCTATACCGAGCATTCCATATAGTCCCCTGAGCCCTGCCAGGAGTGATTCCTAAGCACAGAGCTGGGAGTAAATCCTAAGTGCAGCTGGGTGTGGCTCTCCCTCTGGAATAAATAAGGAACAGAGACATAGGATCACAGAGGAGGTGTTTGCCTTGCCCTAGGTCACCCTGGGTTCAGTTTCCAAACACCACAAATGATAGATGTGAATGATGCCTCAGCACAGAGTCAGGAGTTAGCCCTGAGCACAGCTGGATGTTTCCCAAAACAACCTGAAAAAAAGTTTAAAATTAAATTTAATCCACATCAAGGGAAAAATAAGGGTCCTTATCATCATGACTATTTGTTAAACACTCAGTGCATATGCCATGTAGAGTTATAAAATGTAAAAAAATAAGAAAAATTGATATAATTCCTACTTTCAAAAACCTTGATCCTATTCCCCGTGCAGGATTACAACTAAACCACTAATGGCAAAAACATTAAAATAAAAATGCTATTTATTTTTATTTACCATGGAAATCTGAAAGAAGCTAGCTGCAGACACTTTGCCAACTTGAACAAATTTTTACTTCCAAAATCTGTTGTGAACTGACTTTACACAGGATTAAACGGTGTACTCTCAGGATGTCAGTGATCTGGGAAGACAAATTGTTGGCTTATCCTTTACACTTAAATCATATAGTCTTATGCTTAGTTTATAGATCACTTTGGCAGGATAATTTGCTTTGGCTTGCATGAGCTTACAGTGTTGATGAGACTGTTGGAGGACAGAAAGAAAAATTATGGTTTAGTAGGTGTTACTCATAACAAAAGCAGACAGGCCACGTCAGTTGTCATAAAACTTCATCTTCTTTTCTGATAACAGTTTTCCACAGAGCATACAAATAATACTAAGAACCCCAAATAGGACTCATATGAAGAACCCCAAATAGAACTGGCAAGCAAAGAAAGGGATTGGATATTTAGTTTAAAAAATTAAGGTGTCCAATTTCCTTGGAGAGGAAATGCTATAAGGCATCTATTAGAAAAGACCTGTTTTTTAAAAGGGACTTCTGTTTTTTTTTTATTATAATTTTCACAAATACTCTGTTTAAGGAAAAACAAGGTATCATTTCCAGGCCCATTTTCTAAATACCCTAAGGCTGTGTTTATTTTGGCAAATATGAATGAGATTCATGCATGCTGTATGGATCCTTTTTAAAAAGTGTAATGTCAGCAAGATGGAAAATAGGGCATTAACTTTTTTACATAATAGAGAAACTATAAATGAACTAAAAATATTCAACCTCATCAAAGCCAATTAATGACCTGTTTTTTCTATTATGATACCAGATGTACCCCTATTAGAAACCTACTTCTTTGGAGCTTAGCTGATCAACTCATTCATTTATTTGTTCATTTATTGAAGAAAATAAAAACTGTCGATTCTGGAAACTGAAAAAACCATTTAGGCTTGCTTCAATTGCTATGTCTTTTGGGGCTCAAAGAAATCACTAAAAGGAGCCAGGGAGATTGTACAATGGTTAGGGTTCTTTCCTTGCATGTGACTGACACAGGTTTAATTCTAGCACCATATATGGTTCTCTGAGCACCACCAGGAATGATCCCTGAGCACAGAGCCAGGAGTAAGCCCCGAACACAGCTGGATATGACACCCTACCTAATCATCTAAATCTTACCAAGGGCACATGGTATTTGCCAAATTGAGTGACTGAATCTATTCCTAGCACAGAACCTTGAAAAAAATTTTCTAACAACTTACATTTAAGTTTCTTTCTTTAAATGTAGACCTGTCCTCATTTTCTCTGCATTAAGACTTCTAAAGAGGCTGGAATAGTATTGGGTAGGATCCTTTGCCTTGCAAAGGGCTGAACTGAGTTTGATCCTTGTCACCACATATAGGAGCAAGCCCTGAGTACTGCTAAGTGTGGCCCCATAACAAAAAGAAAACAGACAAAAAAAGACTTCCAGAAATGCGTAACTGTTTTGTATATGTTGATTATAATCAACATTTAACATTGTAATGTAATTACCTCCTTTTTGTAATAACTTGCAATCTTTATACTGCTTTTGATCTTTTAATTCTGATTACAAATTTTCTGATAAAATTTGTCATTAATTATCTCTGTCTTTGCTAATGGTTATCTAGCTAACCCAAAGATTGCATAAAGGATTATCCTAACACCATGTGTCCTAAGGGGCATGTTCTGAGGATTTTTAAACTTGTACCTTATGATGTGTCTCGTTTTGAGTCAAATCTTAGAAACATCAAATATCTCAGCTTGTGAATCTCTTCAGTAGAGAGTTTTTGTTATCTGAATCCTTTATCTCTTTATGGAAACCTTCCCCAACCCTTCATTTTTTCCCAGTTCTATTAATCAGTAGTTTAGGAGCTATAATGTAAGAAAGTTAAGAACCACTGCATATATGAAAAACGCATTGAAAAGAAGTCCTCTGTCTCAGTGGTTCAGAATGGAAAATGATGAGAATACTGCCAGTGATGTCCAGGTCAAGGGTGTCATCATTAAGTTTAGAAATTGATGGGCCAGGGAGTTAGCTCAGTGGTAAAACATTTGCCTTGGATGTGTGAGGCTGCAGGTTCAATACCTGACACCACACATACATAGGCACACACATATCAAGTTCAGAAGTTCGAGGCTATGTGTATATACAATGACTTTTTAAAATCTTTTTTTTTTTTACAGGTTTCACCAAAGCTCATGCCAATGCAGCAGATCACAACTTGAAATGGACATAAATATTGCTCCAGTTTGTGTGGTTTTCATTTTAACCCTGTAGGATTTCATTAGGGGATAGCAGTTATCATAATCATATGTTTAATAAGCTAATTTTAACTTGTTTTCTTGTAGCAGCTTTGTTTCTGTAGCCATGTGGATTTTTTTCTTTAAAGAGTGCTGTTATATTTTAATCAAAAACAGAAAAAAAAGTAGATCATTTTAAAAGCTTCAAGAAGGCTATATTTATAATTGGTGCTCATGTTGTATTTTTCTTTACTCTCTGTGCTGTGCACCCCGAATAATGTGCAACTTGTACCAAGATGGGCCCTTAGGAAGAATTGCATTGATGTACTTTTCCTGATAACTAAATATTAGTGGGGTAGGGGAGGTAGGAGGGTTAGGGATAAAAAAAAAAAAAAACTCCACCCAGAGTATACCCCAGGCAACATTTTACAGCTTCTGAGAAAAATGCTGACTTACTGGCGATGTTTTTTCTCTAAGCTTCCTCTGACATATATTTTGGAGCCTTAATTTTATGATGACATTTTATTTTCTCTAGAGTGTACATCCCACATTTTCAGAGCTAAATAGCTATCCAAGAATGCAAGCAGGAGTGCCTTAGTATGGGGAAATAATGGTTTATGAAACAGACCAAATATTACAGGGTTTGTTGGTGCTGACAGACCACCAAAAGTTGCCTTTGTCAACCAATCAATTAATCAATTGTCAATCTGTGCTTTGTTAATACTGTGTTTATTATAGAAAGAGGGCTATAAACCAGACTTGATCTGCCAGTTTTTTCATTTTAAAGTAATGGACCTAGAAGTGTTCTTAGAAGTCTTTCTCTAACTTATTGAAATCTGGGGTCCAATTATATAATATCTCCTTCTTAATCCAAGAGTAGCACTGGGATATATTTTTCATGAACATGTCATAATGGCAGCAGTTTAAAAAAAATAAAAGTGAAGAAAATTTCCTTTCCAGGTCTCTAAGTTCTGCTCAGAAAAGTTTCTAAATACTTAATGCTTTTCCCTACAGAATGGTGTTCTTTTTTCCACCCAGGATACTACTACTGAGTATTTCAAATTCAGTTTTATCCAAGCAGGGTAAATGATGAGCCAATCCACGATTTGAGAAACAGTGTAATGACTTTCATTGTTCAAATAAACGTGATAGATTAGGTTTTAGAAGAAAAGTCTCACAGTTATCTTCAGTGCCACACACTTGCCTGAGGGACAGCTGTGGAGCATCCTGGACAGCGGGCAGGAGAAAAGCTCAGGCCTCCTGGAAAGAAACCAGGCCTGGCAGGTTGCAATGGAGCTTTCCTGGGGCACTTAGCGCTCATCTAACTTGCTGGGCTTCTGTCCTTAATAGGTCCATGTTAAACTGAAAATATCAAAGATGCACTTAATACCTCTAGTCTGTCAAACAGTGTTGCCTAGCCTACTTGAAACGGGTTCAGAACACTACACAGTCGCCCGGATGTGGAGGGAAGCAGTCTAACGCAAAGCCGGTTTTTATTATTGAGTGTTTACTCTCCTGTAATTTGAACACACCCTCTGGCCAGGTGTTCTTATGATCATGTGACTGAGTGGGTGCTGGGGCTTGGTGCCACAGCATTCCTGGCGACTGTTATAGCCTGGGAAAAGATCAAAATTCAAAATTTAAAGTTCAGTTTCTTCTGAGTGCCTGTTATTTTCACAACATTGTTGTAAAGCTGAAGAAGCTGTAAGTCAGACCATTATTAAATTGGGGACTCCATGGGAATTTTTGTATGTTTTTAGGTGATGCTTGTCATTGTCATTGCCATGATCACAATGTTATGACCCACAGTTACATTATATACAAAATTAGAGGGAGGAGAGAGCTGTGTTTTAGTAGCACATACAATGTGTAAGATAGTTTTCAGTGAACTCAGGGTTGGAAGCATGCTTTTCTAATACCAGTAAAAGAAAAATAAATAACAAACAGGACTCAAAATTTTGAGCACAGGGGAGTAATTTTGTCTGTTAGAATTAACTTTTGGAATAAATATATGTTGCTGATAGATGCTCTATTTGCAAACTTTGCTTATCATTCCAGCTTGTCACTTGAAGATAATGTGATTCTCACCATGTTCCTTACCTTGAGTGGCAAAAAAAATTCTAAGTAGATGACTTTATATCCTAGTTAAAGAGTGCTATCATAGTAAGAAAATCATTAGAATGACAAATATTTTAGATGATACAGATTGATGGGAATGTTGTTTTCCTCATTTAGAAATTTTGTGACTAAATTTGGAAATAATAGAACAGTGATTGCTGTAATGATCAACAAAAATAAAGTCAGCACATATTCTGATTGGGTTTTTGCTTTCCCTTTTATTTAACCAATGAAAAGATACTGTCTGTCATTCATGAAAAAAAAATTGCCTAAATGAATTCTGCACTTTGCTCCCTGTCAGAACCAATCATTTGTTATAAAACTCATAAAACTTCATATGTGGATTAATATATTTTTGCTTTTGTCAACAGCCCTTGAGATACACATAACTGATAGTTGTCCTAGTGGTATGTTCTGTTTGTTTGTGTTTTTAAGTTCACTCTAGTGTTTCTCTAGCCAACAAACTCCTCTTTTGACCAAGTGATTGTCTGTGTGCCTAGGATATGTTTTTTTTAGCAGTTCTCCTTTATCCTTGATAGTTGTAGCCTGTGGTGGACACAGATGACCCAGTGTGCACCAAATTATTGTAAGAGAAAAGTCAGTTTACTTACCTCTCTCTGGTTACTAACTCATAAGACCAAGAGCATGACACCAACACCTTGTTACCATCTGCATAAATGATTTGTGAGTGTGTGCTTGTGTCATGCTCTTCTGTGTGTGTGTGTGTGTGTGTGTGTGTGTGCAGGCGCAGGTGCATGTGCACATACAAGCTCACATTCACCCCTCCCCCCCACACCACACACACACACACACACACACACACACACACACACACACACACACACACCATTTGAGCTCCAATTGGAGCGAAAGAAGCAGAAACAACACTATAGGTAGCTGAGTCTCTGGTTCTCTGTAATCAGCATGTTAATTAAAACCATTTTGGAAATTTTGAATTCTGGAAGGCATTTGATGTCTTAAAGATGTTAGGCAGAATGAGCACAACTGTCTGTATCCAGAGTCAGAGGATAGAAGGTAAAAACACTCAGAGGAAGATTATTTCAGGAGGTTTCCATTGTCATTGTCTAATTCCTCACTTGGTTTTTTTAAGAGTCTGAAAATGAATGGTATCGTCTGTTTTTATTTCTGTTTCACTTCATATAGCACAGCTACCTTCAGTTTCAAACAACTTGCAGCAAACAGAAAGCTTTCATTTTTTTTTCTCATACATAAGTAGTATTCCTCTGTGTGTATGCGCCATCATCTCATTATCCTTCCAACTGTTGGAGGCACTTTAAGTTGTTTCCGGATACTGGCTATTGTAAACAGTACAGCTGTGAACATCTGTATGCCTATATCCTTCTGAATTAATGTTTTTTGTATTCTTGGAGTAGTTACCCAGGGTCAAAGGGAAGCTCTGTTTTTAATTTGGTGAGGGGACGGGGCGGCGGGAAGCCTCCAAATTGTTCTTCAAAGAGACTGATCCAAGCCACAGCCCCCCAGCTGCAGAACACGAATTCTTTCTTGTAACACTCCTTCCAGCACTCATTGTATCCTTTTGATATAAACCACAGACTTTTTTTATATAGACCATCCTTGCTAGTGAGAGGTCATTTTGGTTTGTGATTTTGTCTCATTGGCATTTGATTTGCACTTTCCTCTGGATCAATGATGAACTTTTTTTTTTTTAATTTGTCTGCTGGCCACCTCTGTGGAATTTGTTTCCTCTCCCTACTTTTTGATGGGGTTGTTTGTTCTGTTGTTGAGCTGTGTATAGCTTTGGTATTAGCCCCTGATGTGTCAAATGTGGACCTTTTCTCAATCAGTGGGAAATCTTTTTATTTTAGGCCTCATTTCTTTTGAAGCTCAGAAGCCTTTTCAGTTTGATGTGATTACATTTGCTTATTTCTGTTTTTGTTTTCTTCGCCAGTTGATTCTTATCATTTGTTAATAATATGATGCCTCCTCTGAGGTGAAGATCTTGGAGAGTTCTGTCTTTGTTATCCCGATGTATTTTTATAGAAACAGATTTGCTAGCAAAGTCTAATCTAATGGGGTATGAATTAAGCCCCCTAATTAGAAGTAGATTTGATGCTCTCTAATAAACTATCAAAGAGAACCCAGAAGCTTTAAACCTAATGGGACAAGCTAGAAGCTTTAAACTTAATGGGACAAGTCTTCAAGTTTTGTTCTCCCTATCCACTCAGCTCTTATAAGCTCAGTTTTTTATGGAAGTGGGTGGTTCTTAAAATAAAAAGGGAAATGGCAGCCGCCAGGCAAAATGTCCCTGTGGAAGACTTGCAGATACCAAGTCTACTCATAGAAAAGCCTTGATGACTTCCCTGTACTTGACCACAGTTAAGAATGTTCAGCTCAGGGGCTGGAGAAATAGCACAGCGGGTAGGATGTTTGCCTTGCAAGCAGCCAACCCAGGTTCAATTCCCAGCATCCCATATGGTCCCCCAAGCACTGCCAGGAGTAATTCCTGAGTGCAGAGCCAGGAGTAACCCCTGAGCATCACTGGGTGTGACCCAAAAAGAACAAAAAAAGAACGTTCAGCCCAGACCAGCAGGAATAGTTGATTGGCATAGCTTCATCTTCATGACTGAACATTTTATGACATTTGATTTCCTTGGTATTATTAATGTAGAGCTGTGTTCAAAGGTAGAGTTGTGGTTCAGCCTTATTCAGTTGAACACCATGGATTAAGTTGATATTGGAAGCCTGAAATTAAATGTTATTGGTGGCTCAAAGAGAGCGTCATTTAGCAAGATGAAATATTCCCTTCACTATAGAAGGAAGAAAATTCCGTGAAAAGAAGAAAATCACCACAGACTTGGAGCTTATGAAACCATTGAGGGTGGGCATAGAGTTGGGAAGGCATTAGGGCCATCAAAATAGATGCATGACAACAATTAATTGAAACATTAATATATCTTGATAGATTTCTATACAGTCAATTTTTTTTATTGTAAGGACAATTAACATGAGACCCTCATAATAAACAGTATTTTGTGTAGGTCCAATGTGTTACTACAAATCTCCAGCATGCCACCCTGTGACCTTTCCTCCAGTGTCCCCAGGTTCCCTCACAACCCCATTTGCACTTTTTAAAAAATACACTTTAAATGTCAATCATGTTCGGTCTGTAGTCTACTTGCCACATGCAACTCCCTTCCTGGGAGGATCCTCCCAACACCCTTTATTTGGTGCTCCCTTCTCTACCTGAGCTGCCTTTTCCCCTAGCGTGTGCGGCACGATTGTTACTCAGTGCCTCCTTCGCAAACCACAGCACCCAAAAAGAGAGAGAGAACAAAAGGGAATGCCCTGCCACAGAGGCAGGGGGGAATGGGGGAATGAGGGGTGGGAGGGATACTGGGATCAGTGGTGGTGAAGAATGGGCACTGGTGGAGAGATGGTTAATCGATCATTGTATAACAGAAACCCAAGCACAAAAATTAAGTCTACAACTGTACCTCATGGTGTTTCACTGATGAAAACTAAAAAATTGTGTAGGCAAGTGTCCTACCTGCTGTACTTTTGCTCTAACCGATTAACTAATATTGTTTTCAAAGTGCTTGTGGGGCTGTGAAAACTAATAACTATTGTTTTTATTCCATCATTTTTCGTATCTGTGTACACTAATGCATACATTCAAGGATATGTATATACCTAATAAACATTTATATATGTAAAAAAATACACTTTATTTTTTATTTCGGGAGGGGGGGTTTGGTTTCTACAGGTGTCTGTGGGCCTAGTGGGTTCCTCCCAGATTCTTGACCAATTTGACTATTATGTTGAATGCTGGGGCCTGAGGATGTGGTGCTACCTAGGCCCTGAAGTGCCAATGACCAGCTCTGTGGAGATGGGGGGGGGGGGCGGGGAGTTCTGGCATGGCACAACACTGCTTTCTCTTGAATCCAGTGAGTCGTGGGATCTGTTCTACATGGTCTAGAATTCAGTTCAGGAGGCCTCTCCTTGGTTCGCTTTCAGAGCCCTCAGGGCTGCCCCTTACACCTGCTGTGTTGTTAAAATTTTCTTCTTACTACCCCATTTCTCTTTCCTCCCCCTTTTAGATTTATTTATTTTTATTTATTTATTTTTGCTTTTTGGGTCACACCCAGAATGCTCAGGGTTTCCTCCTGGCTTTGCACTTAGGAATTACCCCTGGAGGTGCTTGGGGGAACACAAGGGATGCTGGGAATTGAACCGGGTCAGCCGCGTGCAAGGCAAATGCCCTACCCACTGTGTTATAGCTCTGGCCCCCAGATTTATTTTTAAAAATAACTAAATGTTCAGTTTATCAGGTAATCTGTCTTGATTAGATGCTTACTGACAAAGTGCTCAATGTTGAAAGGAAAAGGAGAGGAGAGAGCAAAATAGTATATCAATACAGTCTTTATGCTTTATTGCACTTACTCTTTGTAGTTAGAGATTTTTTTAAAAAAACAAGCTGAAATTTGTATAAATGTAATCCTATGGCACTGGGTTATTTTTAATGAACTCGTTGGTTCTTGATTCATTCACTAAAAAATTGTTCAACAGTGTTTTGACAAGCATTACTAGAAGACTTGGAATCAAAAGACAGCTGATAAGGAATAAACTAAGAACTTTTAGTTTTCTATGAAGGAAAGTTTTTGCACCATGACATTATTTAAAGAGGTTCTGGGATGCTTGCTGCTCTTTAGGATATCTCTAAATATCCATGTTTAATAAACTGTATAAAATTGTTTTGAAAAAAGAAACAAGACACTCAATAAAACCAATTGGGAGGGAGTGGAAGTAATTTATGATTACTTATAACCTGTACAAAATCAAAGGAACACTGACAGAAATGATACAATATTCCTTGGAGAAGATTAACTGATTTTTATCTATGCTTGGTTTGAGAAAAATCTGAATTTTAGTGAAAGTTTTAGTGAATAGAGTTATTGAAGGGATATGAAATTTTAAAATGTGGTCCAAAGTAAGGGCATACTACTCAGCGGTGACTGTAGGCATTCGATTGTAGATGTCTGTGGTTGAAGGATATTACATAGATACATCTACTATAAAGAGGTCAGTTGAAATTCTGTGGTGCATTGGGAAATGCACTAATGAGAATGGTGCTGGCTAATCGAACTAACCAGCTGTGTTTTTCAGAAAAGAAGCAATTGTGAAATGACCTCATTGTCATCTTTAGTATCAAAGAGAAG